CCGTGGCGCAGAGGTGACCCCGGGCTGGGAGGGAGGCGAAGGGGGGAGGCGGGGAGGGCCCCCCGGGAGAGGAGCGCAGCGGCCCGTCCCCCGTGGGGAGAGGAGGGCTGTCACCTCAGGGCTTTCCCCGCGCCTCCAAACCCCAATCTTGCTCCGCTTTTTGGTCTCCGGAGCTGCCCCGGTCGAATCTTTCCTCCATAGAAAATAGCGTTTTGCAGGTGGAAGCGCAGCTGATGACGCAAAGCCTGTGTTTTTTGCCTTTATATTTAGGACAGCGGTCTTTTTAACGTAAAATTGTCTGCGGAGGGAAGGGCCCGTAAGGAGCGGTAGCGTAGCGCTTGGTGCGAATAAGTGAGCGGGACGCTTCGGCCGCGCTAATTCGGGGAAGGGGTTGGTTGACTAACCGTGGGTGACAAAAAACAGGTGACGTGAACCTGGGAAACGAAATTTCCTGTGATGGGGACAAACTCCTGCACCGTCTGGAGTGTAACAGATGGTAATGACAGGTGTTGGGTTTTTTTTCCTTAAAAAATGGGATATTTCTGAAAACATCAAGTGCCGTGATTAGGGCTAGAAATCGGTGGTGCCAAGGTCCTGCTTTCTGTAGATCAGGTTTGTCTTGTAATATGTTTGGGAAGAGGATCTGCATTTTTGCACCGGAGGCTTTGGGCTTAAATATGAATGCTGTTTGCCCTTTTGCCCTTAGTTCTTAGCCCGAAAGGCAGACTCTGTTGGCAGCATCCTTTATGAAGGGAAGTTATGAGCCAGATATTTTTGATTATTCATGTACTTGTTGTCTTGAGTGTGTTGCTATGGCACAGAGGACCAAAGACAAATTCTTTCACCCTTTCATACTGCTTTGATTTGACCGAACTTCACATTGTTTTACTTCTCTGGTCTTAATTCTCAGTCTTCTTTTGAGGGAAATGTGGCAGCTGTACCCTTGAAAGTGCAGCAGAAAGTCAATAAATTTTGTGTAATGTGTAACTGAGTTGTCACACGCATCTATATAAAAGCATTGAGGTTGCAAAGTCAGAATTAAGGTTATATTTGAATCAACATAAAATAAAAAAATGTATAATGTATCTTCTATGTATACCTAGACTATTTTTCAAAGACAAACACCGGGGGGGGGAAAAAGGGAAAGAAAAAAAAATTAACATGCTTGTTTTATGCTCCTATGTGGAAAAGGGCTCTAATTATTTATTTTTTTTTCATTTGCATAGCAGTAAATGTGAAAGATTGACTTGAAATATGTCCACTTAGTTTGTGTGGCCAGGCTAAATGCACAGACTGACATCTCAGAATACTGGCTTTGTGTTGCCATTATTTTTTTTTTTTTGAACGAGTGGTCTCATTGATTTCAAATTGCAGATCTGAGCGCTCAACATTCCTGAAAAAATATCTTTTCAATTGAAGCCCCCCAAAAATGAGGATCAAATAGCTGTGGAATTTTTGGTCTGAGGTAGTGGGTTCCTGTGCTTTTTTTATTATTGACTGTCGTGCTGCAGAGGGGCTTGTATGACAATGGGGAGACACCATAGTTTGATACCAGGTCTAGCTGGTGAGCTACCAAGAGTAGTTTGATCATGAGCTCCACTGCGATCTGTGCTCCATTTATGATTGCTCTCTAGACCTGTGATGAGCACCAACCATTTCATTACAGGTTTCTAGAACACCTCCGGAGGTGTCTTCCAGGGGAAAAAATGGATGCAAATACTGTGTTCAAATTGCATTCATGGTATTCTGCAGTGGTATTGTATTGGAATGTCCTTTATTAGGAGGCTGAATTAATGTTGCCCAAGTGACAATAACTTAATTTCTAATTTTAAGCGCTGAGCTTAACAACCTTAATAGCGTTTAACAGTTTAAAAACCATAATAACATTTGAAGTAGAAAATTCTGTCATGAAAAGTTGCATAAGTGTCAACGTTATTAGGATCAAAGTTGGAGCTCTTGGATCCACTGCAGAGTGTGTTTGGAGTAATGGCTGGAGAACGAAACCTTCAGTTTCCGTATAGATGAGTTTGATGGAAATGTGATGCACATTTTGCTAGGAGATTTTTACGATTCTGTCGTGTACTCACCAGCAAAGAATGATGAGGCTCAAGTATCTTGGGATCCTCTCCAGCTTCTTTTGGAAGGTCAAAGAGGAGTCAAAGACATTTCTCCTTTATTCCTGATGCACAAAGTCTTACACTGTTTTTGCAGGCTTTCTAGGTTTGTCCTTCCTCCACTTACCTGTTTCCTTAGCTCCCCATTTCATTTCCAGTCTCAGTCTGCTTTTCATTCCACCAAGGCAAATCATCCAACATCTTTTTTTTTTTTTTTTTCTTCCCTCCTTCCATCCAATCCAGACTTTTCTACTTCATCCCAATATTTCCATTTTCAGGGTTCTTCCTTAATCTTCCCTTTGGCAGGATGCTTTTCCCAGATGCTATTTACGTGGATCATTGGAAGCAAGAAGCAGGTGGTGTCTCTGCTCTCAATGTCTTGCTGTAGAGGTCTACAGCAGCTGGTAGAAGCAGTTACACTGAATGTTTCTTGCATCACCCCTGGGGCTCTGACCTGGAATGAGCATATAGCAGGTTGAGATTTTGGGGGACTTAGCTAACAAAATGAACATTTTTGGGTGAGGGTTTGCACAGGCTTATAACTTACTTAACAGAACAGCCACCAGAAAACCCCAGTTCTGACACTAAGGTGACCAGCCCTTGCAAAACCTGAAATCATTTCCTTTAAAATGCGGAATTCCTAAAAAAAAAATTAAAATATTCTAATGTGGGCAAAGCAAAATCTATCTCCTTACAGAGTTTTTGATTCCATTCAAAAAAAATCCATTCTGAAACAAGAATTGACAAAGGTTAATTTCATTTTTAATGGTTAACGCATAGTAAGTTTCTAACTGAAGCCAGTATCACACTGTAAAATACTCCAATATTCAAAATTTTTAAGAGTATTCAAGGTAGCGATGGCTGTCTCATCCATATTGTTGGGGTTTAACCCTGGCAAGCAGCCACCACACAGCCACTCGCTCACCCCTGCAGTGGGATGGGGGAGAGAATCGGAAGGGTAAAAGTGAGAAAACTCGTGGATTGAGACAGAGACAGTTTAATTGGTGAAGCAAAAGCTGCGCATGCAAACAAAGCAAAACAAAGAATTCATTCACTGCTTCCCATGGGCAGGCAGGTGTTCAGCCATCGCCAGGAAAGCAGGGCTCCATCATGCGTAACAGTGACTTGGGAAGACAAACACCTTAATTCCAAATGTCCCCCCCCGTCCTCCTCCTTCTCCAAAGCTTTTACTGCCGAGCATGGTATCACACAGCATGGAATATCCCTTCGGTCGGTTGCGGTCAGCTGTCCCGGCTGTGTCCCCTCCTGACTTCTTGTGCGCCCCCAGCCTGCTCGCTGGTGGGGTGAGGAGCAGAAAAGGCCTTGATGCTGTCCAAGCACTGCTCAGCAATAGCTGAAATATTCCTGCATTGTCAACACTGTTTTGGTCACAAATCCAAAACTTGGCACCACACCAGCTACAAGAAAGAAGAAAGTTAACTCTCCCAGCCAAAGCCAGTACACCTATCTAGTCTTGAATTCCCACGTCTTTCTTTTTCCTTGAGATGAATTTTTATAAAAGTGTAATGAGCGGAACGGCCTTCTTGTTTCATCTAGGCAGTTACCACAGACAACAGAATAGGTTTCTGATCCCCCTATGTACGAAAAAAAGGGGGTTGACCTACTTTATGTCTTGTCTTTCAAAGAACAACTTTCTTCTTGCAGGTCGCCTGCATCCAGATAATGTTCATAAGGCCTGTGAAAGTATCTTCAGAGTTGTGCTGGGCCCAGTAACCCTACAAGTTACTTCATATTCGATCAAGAGTCCAAATAATGCTTGGCAGTAGCGGTGGAATATTTAAGAATATAAGGTTGTCATATATACCTTGATAATTAGTTGCTTAGTCCTGCTGCTGGCGTCTGGTATTTACTGATGCTCTAGTATTTATGGAGCCAATAAATTTTAAAAGGACTTTTAGATTCCAGGACTAACACCGATGATTACACAGATGTTGATGGGACGCTTTCCCATTCTTGGCCCGTTCAGAAATGAGGTATATCATTTGAGAGTAACTGAAAAAAAAAATCCCTATGCTTGAGTCTTCTAGAGAAACAGAGTGTCAGAATGGTCTGCAGATCTTTCTCCCCATTCTGTGAAACTCTTACAGTATGAAATGTGATGAGGAACAGATTTGTGAGTTTATGTACAGGTGAATAAGGAGTTGCTGTTTGCTAGAAGTCAAGTAACCTATGATATGAGTCACCAACATGGGAAACTTTTT